TTGTCTGGTTTGTTTGTTGTTTAAAGCTACACACAGCAATATTTCAGCTTTTGGGGGGCAGGCTGGAAATAAAAAGCAAATGTATAAGACAGACCAATATTATGAGCATAGACCCAAACTGTCGGATCCATTCTCAAGTGCATGCATCCATGAAACAGTTTTCTAATGGAATAAATAATATTGCTATATTCATGTTTTTCGTCTCATCTTTAAAGCAACAGGTCTTGTAATCTGAACAGAGTCTGTGTGTTGATGAATTTTGCATGAGAAACATCGAAATGAGCAAGTCTTGTTTGCAGGAGTAATTATCAACAGTTCACCAATACCAAACCATCTTGACACTATACCTAATCAACCAAGTCACCAGTCTTACCTGATCCATTGAATCACCCTGCAGACAAGCATAGGTTGCTGGGGACCAGTTCTAACCTGGAATCACCACTGGTGAGCTAGGGACTGGCAACCCACTGATTGACTGCATGAGCTGCAGACAAGCATAGGTTGCTAGGGACCCGTTCTAACCTGGAATCACCACGGGTGAGCTAGGGATTGGCAACCCACTGATTGACTGCATGAGCTGCAGACAAGCATAGGTTGCTAGGGACCAGTTCTAACCTGGAATCACCACTGGTGAGCTAGGGACTGGCAACCCACTGATTGACTGCATGAGCTGCAGACAAGCATAGGTTGCTAGGGACCCGTTCTAACCTGGAATCACCACGGGTGAGCTAGGGATTGGCAACCCACTGATTGACTGCATGAGCTGCAGACAAGCATAGGTTGCTAGGGACCCGTTCTAACCTGGAATCACCACTGGTGAGCTAGGGATTGGCAACCCACTGATTGACTGCATGAGCTGCAGACAAGCATAGGTTGCTAGGGACCCGTTCTAACCTGGAATCACCACGGGTGAGCTAGGGACTGGCAACCCACTGATAGACTGCATGAGCTGCAGACAAGCATAGGTTGCTGGGGACCCGTTCTAACCTGGAATCACCACTGGTGAGCTAGGGACTGGCAACCCACTGATTGACTGCATGAGCTGCAGACAAGCATAGGTTGCTGGGGACCAGTTCTAACCTGGAATCACCACTGGTGAGCTGGGGACTGGCAACCCACTGATTGACTGCATGAGCTGCAGACAAGCATAGGTTGCTGGGGACCAGTTCTAACCTGGAATCACCACGGGTGAGCTGGGGACTGGCAACCCACTGATTGACTGCATGAGCTGCAGACAAGCATAGGTTGCTGGGGACCCGTTCTAACCTGGAATCACCACGGGTGAGCTAGGGATTGGCAACCCACTGATTGACTGCATGAGCTGCAGACAAGCATAGGTTGCTGGGGACCAGTTCTAACCTGGAATCACCACGGGTGAGCTGGGGACTGGCAACCCACTGATTGACTGCATGAGCTGCAGACAAGCATAGGTTGCTGGGGATCAGTTCTAACCTGGAATCACCACTGGTGATCTAGGGACTGGCAACCCACAGATTGAATGCATGAGCTAAGATTATCATGCTCTCCACCACCACTTTTCCTGGCCCAGATTTGATTATATACAGACTGCCATGGAATACACAGAATATTGATGTCACATGACTAAAACAGTAACTCACTCTTTTGGAGGTAATAAATGATATAACAGTCTGTGCCAAAAGCTCTTTAATCCACCAGCCCAAGCAAGGCTCTAAGCATCCTTTTCAGTCAAGTTTAGTGTATCATATGGAAAATTAATAGCTGAGCCTGGTAGGCTTCAGACAGGAGGCCCATAGGGCCTGTATCGCTCACATGGATATTTACACAATCGTGACAAAATATACATCTGCATTGTACATGCATATAAGCGTGCAAATATTTCGTAATTTTGACATTTAAAATGGGTGGATGGCAAATCTGACAGCATGAACGTGTATTTCTCTAGACACAAATGTAGCATAAAGATCTGAACCGTTTCCATGTTATGATCCAGGATCTAAGTTTCCAGAGGCAAGGCTGGACCCCAGGGCGAATCCTATTGGCGTAAATGTATTATTCTCTTCATAACAAACAAATGTATACAATGTATCTGTTAATTATACTGTGGCGATAATATCGGTTTACATGTTATGGTCAAGGTTCTAACTCTTTTGGGAGTGCCGGACAGATGAACAAAAGGACCAGTCCTGGTAGCATATGTGCATTCCTCTCATTATACTCAGCAATTGTACATATGGTTATATGGAGGGTATCTTAACTGTGTCCAAGTTATAAACTCTTTATGGCCCCGCCCCTCAGCCCCTCCATTTGTACAACTTTGAATCCTCACCAACAGAGAATGCTTCCAACCAAATATGGTTGATATCTATCTCTTAGTTCCAGAGAAGAAGTCGTTTAAAGCAATATAGCCAAATTACTCCTACGTGTGTGTTTGTGTGGCTGCTTGTACTAGTCCGGACTGATGCCGATTTATAGTGCTAGCCTACTGAGATACCATGCCGCAGTTTAACATGAATACCCCACTCAGACACAGTATACTGACTCCGAGCCGACCAGTCCTTGTTTTAGCCCCTTAATGCCGAGCGCCAGACAGGGTAACAACAAGTACCATCTTTTAACGTCTTTTGGTATGACGCGGCCGGGGATCGAACCCCGGACCTTCCGCTCTCCGGGCGGACGCTCTACCACTAGCCAGTCCAAAGAGAGTAACCTTGTCAACGACGTGAAGCTGATAATCTGAGTTTGGATATATACTACATTGATTGGCAGTGAAATAACCAAGTCTTCACACATCATTTACACCAACACATACAACCATTGCGGCTACCCACCATCCCAATCACCATATATGGCTTAAATCACTCTCCTACTCAGTGAGTGAGTGAGTGAGTTGGGTTTAGCGCCGCTTTTAACAGTATTCCAGTTATATCACGGCGTGTCAGCTTTATGTGGGAGGAGAGCCCGAAGTGGTGCAGGTCTCACGAGCATGGGTATGGTGCTGACAAACCTAGAAACATAATCGGGGCAAACCGGGATTCGAACCCACAATCAAAGGTTTCTGGCGTGCCCAAGGGACGCACCTCTGCACAGCGAATCGCGGCGCCTTTGACGACTTGTATATTGGCCACCCGTGCCCCCTCTCCTACTCAGAGTTCCATGTGACCAGCATAGTACCTCTGCCACAGGCCAGCGCCATGTGACGATTCGTCACATCTTACACAGTCCATTCAAGATATTGCATATGTTTTTCATCTGTTTCATTTTGGACAAGTCTACATATCCAGACAAACATATGTCATAAAATGGTTAACTTTCATTGAGAAAATATCCTAAATCGTGAAAAGCAATTTCCATTTGCGTTGTTATCCTATGTTTACATTGGTTGTACGACACCAGGTGCTGTCATTAAAGCCCTATGAGTGAGTCAGTGAGTATTGTTTTACGCCGCTTTTAGCAATATTCCAGCACGGCGGGGGACACCAGAAATGGGCTTCACACATTGTACCCATGTCGGGAATCTAACCCGAGTTTTCGGCGTGATGAGCGAACGCTTAACCACTAGGCTACCCGACCGCCCCTGAAGCCATATGAAGAGCTAGCGATAAGGTCACTTTGATGTGTAAATATGTATTGTCATGCAACTCACTGTTGCAGTTGTAGTAGCATATTTATATAATTATGCAAAACAATATGAAAAAACCCGCCAATACAAATACTTAGTCCATTCTATTCTGATTTCTGAAAAAGTGTGTTTGTTTGTCGGGTCACATGATATGCAAATTAGCGTGTGGCTAAGTCACAATCTGCAATATTCAAGCCAAATGGTATGATAACCTGCTATCTAACAAGCCGTTCATCCGATCCATATAAGGCATCAAAGTCAAGCATGGAGGACCTACACTAAACCAGGATCCCCATCCATCATGCTCATGGGTCATAAGAGAAATCTCAGGATCTATAAAACATTTATCGGATGGGTAACGGTAAACAAAATGCAGAGACTGAATGCATCAAATTTGTTCTATCAAAAAAAATAAAAAAAATATTAAAAAAATAAATAAATAAAAATAAATAAATGTTATTTGTGTTTTCAGTGACTAAATCCTGCTTAGAAATCCCTGGCGAACCACTTAAAACAACAACAGCTTATATAGATCATCTAGACTGCGTAGTTACAGTAGAAAACAATTAAATTTAAGTCAAGATTTATATCCCGTGTGCTGATCAGTGACGCAGAAAATATGGTTAACTTTCAATAACTTACAATTCCTCTCATTTTCTCTAATCAAAAATATCCTCTTTGTCGGCTTTATATTGTACAATGTCTCTTGGTCTCATTAGGTGCTCAGAATCCGCATCAGGGATCTCGAACCCTGAAAAACAATACGAAAAACATTTCTTGAATTTAATACAGTGATGCAAATCATAATACATTTCCTCAACTTACACCATGTACACAGTGTTTGACATAAAGGATCAAAGTCAAGATGTCCTACTCCCAAGCGATCAGTCGCAGACGTAACGTGTACGGCTCTGCCGTCTCTTGTACGCGAGACGGGTGCGGTCCGCAGTACTTAATGAGGCGCTTGATACTAATTTCAATCACCGTGGCTGTGCTGTCACCCGCGACCTCCTTGAAAGTAATTAAAGCGCTATGTAAAATCACCCACTGCCGCGAGAGCCCCTAATCCACCCAAGGTCGTGACTGGCGGGTCGCGTGTGCATCGAGGCATCCGCCTTCCAATCTTCACATACCCTATTTTCGAACGGTTAAACAACAAACAATCCATTCATCCATCACTTTTGAGGGAACCATTTTAATTTCGTGATACAGCTGGTTGTTGAATATGGCGGTGTGTGTAAATATGAAGTCACAAGCTCCGATGTTAATGCAGTTTGGCTTTCACTCTATGAAGGCTCATACTCCAATGAACTCACACAAAGTGAAAGTCAATGATTAAGTAATAAATTAGCCTGTGACAGTAGTGTCATGATAAGTCAAGTTTCAAGCTTGTTCCCGTGTCTCCATATCGCAACAAGGCTTTTTAATCGTTGTATGACGTCATAACCATTATGACGTCAGCATAGCAGTTTTTGTGATGACGTCATCAATCAACGTTTTGTGTCGGAACATATGATACAAGGTAAGTTTACTCTATTTTCACGCCCCAGTCACTTTATGATTAGCATGGACCTTGTTTTACTTGTGCGTGTCCATCTTAAGTATCACATCATGTCATAGTATATGTTTTCCACAATTTGAAGGTGAAGTGGAGGTAAAAATATTTGTCTCGGAAGAAAAACCCAAATCCCAATCACAGCCATTAGTTGTAATGGAAGACCTCGGACTAAAATCGACCGCACCTTGAATATATGCGTGTTGCTTTATTACCCACAAAAAATAGAAGTGATAAGAAAGTAGTAATGACGATATGAAATCTGTAAAATTAATTTCGTGCGTGCATGTCAATATCTGGTGTGTCCAAAATGCACGACACATGCATTATACCGGACACCAATCCGCCATGTTTGTTTGATGCTACTACTTTGGTAATTAAAGATTTTATTTACTTACGAAGGCATTTAAATCAAGCCGGCGATTGGGGGGAGCAAGCCCCCCAAACCTCCTGTTGTTTTAACGAGGCGACAAAAATGGCGTCTGAAAAACGTAGAAACCGTTACTAAGGAATGAGCTTACCAAAATGGCATACTGTTGATTAACTTGCGTAAGATTGCCCGCCATTCGGCGTGAAGACCTACCCTTGTCGTCGGAGATAATCAGTGACGACCTGGGCATCATTGTGTTCTAGGATTTTCATCTTGCAGTTACAACTTTCTGCCGATAATCTAGTGAATGGAATAACGACAGGACGCAAAATGCCGTCAACATCGCACTTTTTATGTGCATTAATTGCTTCGAGTTTAATTTAGTTTAATTTATTGAACCAGATAAAAACAGGGCACCAAAGGCAAGCAGGGTATCATGTTCTGCTTATTTTGAACTTAATTTTATTAGCCACGCATTCACGTGCCGCTTTGGTGATGTGTATTATGACACTCCATATGCGTTATTTATTGACAGTAGAGTTGTAAACATGATACAAATGTGTTGGAAACTTATTATTTTGGGCGATGTTGCAATTGCTATGGGCTTGGGGTGACATGACGTTTTAGAAGGACATATATGTCCCTCTGGCACAGCAACTGCGTTTTGTGTCCAAATGGCATCCAGGGTGTTAAGTCTGTTTCGGACCCGTGAAGATCCGGGGTAGAATAGGTCTTCAGCAACCCATGCTTGCCGTAAAAGGCGACTATGCTTGTCGTAAGAGGCGACTAACGGGATCGGTTGGTCAGGCTCGCTGACTAGCGTGGATCAATGCCCATGTTGTTAATCACTGGATTGTCTGGTCCAGACTCGATTATTTACAGACCGCCGTCATATAGCTGGAATATTGCTGAGTGCGGCGTTAAACAACAAACAAACAAACAAGTCTGTTTTGACAGGACAATGGACATTGACGTCAAACACGTCAGTTTTTGTCTTGACATTGCAGGTTAACGTGGTCGTTCTAACTGAAAACGTTGATGTTCTATCCATGGACTCATTTTGTAAGGGAGTTGTTTTTCCTCACAAACTAATAAATCCATTCCGCTACTTTTCTGACTTTATATTTTTACAGTTACCGGTATGGGTTGCATTTCTCCCAAAATGGCTGAGAACTTCCCCGAACAGCCGCCTAAGTTCAGTACCCACATCCCCAATACTGCCAACCTGTTAAAGATCACAGCACTTCGCAACAATCTACTCCTCAAGCAGAAGGATCTTCTATCCCAATCAGGCATTCAACAAGGGGAGCCAGTTTCCGAAGGAGAGAGTGGCCCCAAAGCGTCGTCTGCTCCAGAGATCCTTTCGAAGAAAGAAGCAATCAATTTCACTTTGCCTCTGTTATACAGGTACAACTTAATGAAACGCAAAACCAGATATTTCGTCCGCAATGGGAAGATCTACGATTGGCGTAAGATGCGGTCGTTACCTCTGATAGAAGCCATGCGCAAGAAGTGGGCGAAAGAAGGCCGCGGTTCGCCGTCAAAGATGATCATACAGCAGCTCCATAATCCACACAACCGGCCAACTAAACGGAAGGGCTGGTATCTACTGACTGACGAGCAGGTTGAGGAAGTGATGCCATCATGCCACACGGGAAGGCTGCTGCCACTGTCGCCCCGAGAATACTGGTCTGACGTTAGACGGGACGTGATGCTCCTGCTGAAGCAGTTTGAGAAGCGAGGGAGTTCTGAGAACCAGCAGCCAATGCTTGATCAAATTTCAAGATGGATATCTCTGTATAAACTCCGAGATCCTCAAGACACCTACCACAGAGGTGATCGTAACAAACTACCCTTTCTCCTTCCTTTCGGAGTAACAGTAGACGATATCCACGCCTCGGCGCGGGAATCGAAGCCGTTTGATACAAGACTTGAATGTCCGATTCTGAGGCGCGGTGAAGTAGTGGGATACGGAGCTTACAGCCTAGTTCTGGAGGAAGAGGCCGAGGAGAAACCTAAGGAAGAAACTTCTTCTCCTCCCACTAAGATCAGCGAAGCCTGCATGAAGAAAAGGAGAGATAAACTTGCTTCAAGATTTGCCAAGCAATACAGATATTCTCAGGACAAAATGGCGCCGTTCCTCTCGTGGGCGACCGTCATGGCAGAGGGACATTCCAAATTTATTACTCTCTGTAAGAAATAGATTGTTACAATTTAGGTATTGGTGATATAGTATTCACAATTTTGCAAAGTTTTCAGCGAATAAAGCAACGACGAATGGAAAATCTGTTTGAATAATTTCGCCTTTCTTTAATGGGCAGTGATGGTTAAAACGTTACGCCTATGATGTCTGAAATATGACAATAAGCAGCTTAAAAACATACAGACTGACTTCAGTTGACCCACATTTTGATTGAAACCCTTCAAGCTAAACTTCAAGTACCACTGAAATATAGTTTAATTTCCAACTGAGGAAGTAATACGATATAGACCTGTTTGCATCCCAATACATACGCTATACAATAAGTGATTCAGTGATATTTTTAAATTTTGTGTTTGTACAATTCTTTAGTTGGACTGGACGTGAAATTATTCCGTGATCAATCTGTTTAGGGTTAATCTTGCACAATCGGACAGTGAATATTTATATCACAACCACATGCAACCATCACAAACACATGCAAAGGAAAGTCAATTATTCACCTACAGGTCAAAACAGAATTGCAACGGACATCATTTTTGTCGCTGCGTCACATTTGAAAACGTCCTCCTCGTGTCTACCTTTAAACTTTTTGAAAGATTATGTGAGGCCCTGAATGTTGTAACCTTGATCAAATAACTTCTGAGAAAGAGTCTAATGACGCTCTCCGAAATCTTGAAAGAAAGAACATATGCTCGATTGTACCTCAAAAGTTGTGAAATGCAAACATCAAAGGCTGGAGTTCTAGTTCAGTTGGGAAAATCAGTGAAAGGGAACTGGCTATTTGGCACACTGCTCTGAAATACAATTTTCTCTAAGAAATCCCAAGAGGTAATTTAAAACATGTGGTCAACACGTTTGTGTTCCTATTTCACTGACTGCGTCATTGACTACAAGCTCTGCTTCCACCGTGAAGATTCCGGGGTAGAATAGGTCTTCAGCAACCCATACTTGCCGTCAAAGGCGACTATGCTTGTCGTAAAAAGGCGACTAACGGGATCGGGTGGTCAGGCTCGCTGACTTGGTTGATGCATGCCATCGATCCCAACTGCGTGGATCGATGCTCATGATGTCAATCACTGGATTGTCTGGTCCAGACTCGATTATTTTACTGACCGCCGTCATATAGCTGGAATATTGCTGAGTGCAGCATTTAAAAAAACAAAAAAACAGTTATACCTGTATGGTGTCGCTGCAGCTTGTACTCCAGACCCGTGACGGGGTAGAATAGGCCTCCAGCAACCCATGCTTGCCATAAAAGGCGACTATGTTCGTCGTAAGTGGCGACTAACAGGATCGTTTGGTCAGGCTCGCTGACTTGGTTGATGCATGTCATCGTATCCCAATTGCGTGGATCGTTGTTCATGATTACGATCACTGGATTGTCTGGGCCAGACTCGATTATTTACAGACCGTCGTCATATATCTGAGTGCGGCGTTAAACAACAAACAAGCAAAGCAACAAGCTTGTACTCCGCCGCCCTAGATACCTTGTTGCCGGGTTAACTGGGTCCCAACGCAAAAGATAATAAGTACCAGTTTATGGTGATACAACATGGTATTCAAAATATTGCCAGATCCGAAGACCCATCAAGAAATCGCAAAACCATACGCTTAAGAACCAACAGAGCAGGATCCGTGGTATGGAAACGATGAAAATCAAGTGGAAACTAGAGAAGACCCACATCACCTGATGTGTCACCCGACCCCGACATCTACACAGTGACAATTTTAACGTGGTAAGAATAATACTTTGATGTGTGTACACCTAAATTACCTATATGCTCATTATTACATTTTCAGAAGCGGACACGTAATATTCTAAGAGATTTTTGTCACGCCTGGTGACCCACATGCTTCATCAGTTGGCCTATTCATCCTGTTCCACCCTGTTACGACCCTATCGCAAGTATCGGCATTGTCGTCATCTAAGTTTGTCTTTATTAGGTATAACTATTCCCACCACCTTAAGTCTACAGATCAGTGATACTTGACAATATCAAGAAACAAATACGATCTGTCGCTAAACGTTGTCTCAACAAGATTACACATTACCAGCTGATTACGAGAGCATATGCTTTGAGTAACACGAAAATGGGGTACGTCCCAGGACGTTTTTAAAGTCGGTTGTCGAGTGGAAACGTACTGGGGAAAAAAAAGATTCTCTTTGATTTTTTCCCCATCCGAATTCAAAATAACTGTCATATTTTATGGATAAGTAGCTGAATTCCGTATGTCACCGGCATCAGTCGACAGTGAAACGATAGATCACTCAATTGATGTCTTAGTGTGTGAAACCAGTTACTGCAGTAGGCCTATAACTATTTAACAGATAATTGGTTTTTGGTTTGTTCTGACAATCATTCAAAAGAAATGCATTGCAACTTTGCTGGGAAAATATTTATCATCCATTATGAGGCCAGATTTAAAAATAAATAAATTATAAACTAAAAAAAATATGAAAGGTTTAGGCTTCTAAGATATATAACTTATTATTAAAGTGGGATGTTTAATTGAGTGGACCAGATATATGTAAAATGTTTACAAAAAGCTCATTTACTGTCACTATCAATATACATAAAATATTTAAGAAACTATAATTAAACCTTGTTTAAAATTAATAAAAAATATTTGAAATAGTACATTTTTGTTTGGAAATTTAGACCTCCTGACCAGATGTTTTGGGCAATCATCTGTAACAACCACCCCTAAAACTTTGTCCTAACTGACTGGAAATAATCGCATGCAGCTCAACCCAATAACCTGTGTTTAGTGTATTCTGAATGTTAACACACCTTACATCATGTGGAAAAAATCCAATTTCATTACAAAATACTGTATGTAAGCCTAATGCTGAAGAGATGAACCAGAGCTCAAATTTCATATGAAAATATGCCCTGAAATCTTTGATTTAATTCTTTGCTTTATGAATGTAATGCTGTGACTCTAAAGAAAGGTGGAAACAGATGTATATGTAGAAAAGGAATGACCTTAGAACCCCACAATCAAGGAATGGGTAAATAATAATAATAATTATTTAGTGTTGTTCCTTTCGGCAATTATCTGGAACAGGTTCAGATTGAGATGGTTTTGCATCTTCAGTAAGTTCAGATTTATGAAATCTGCAATCACTTTTTTATATGAGTGAGTGAGTAGGGCAATATTATTAATTAATTAGCAATATTCCAGCAATATCACAGCGGGGGTACACCACAAATGGGCTTCACACATTGTAGCCATGTGGGGAATCGAACTTGGGTCTTCAGCGTGACGATCAAACGCTTTAACCACAAGGCTACTCCACCACCCTATTTTATATGAACACTTGAAATAAAGTTTAGAAAAAATATAATATTATTTGCTTTCATCAATTTATTTTATTATGCATTTGAAGATCTATCATGCAAAACAAACAAATCTGACTTGTGAAATAAATCTCAGGTACCATATATGTTTATTTGCGAGACAGTTATGAAAACATATGTAACTTGTAAGGTTATTAAATTACATCAGTGATATTTAAACATGTCCACAATATTTCAAGAAGTATTCAAACCAATAGTAATAAACACATCATGTCAACATGATAGAAAACTATAAACTGTTTTGGCTATTATTGAATTATTAACATGGTATAAACATTATGCATATATCATCAATATAAGTTGCTTCTTCTATAGGCTTCCCTCCAGATTGAATGACAAAAATATATATTTAAACGGTATGATATTTTTGTAATGTTTTGTACTGTGCGACTAATAAAAGACCCTTTTTCATTTCAGAATATATCTACACCTCATAAACATGAGGTTCACTTTTTGGATTTTCAGAAATAGTTGAAGAATTACAGAGTCATTCAATTTTGTGTCGTCAAGGTGGTTCGTGCACAATTTCCATCTGCTCTATGTACCGTTTTTCTCACTAAAATAAACTTTTTTCATTGCAATCTTGTTTTATGGTCTCTGACAACAATCAGCCTTTGCTGTTTCTTTTTATAAGTTTCTGTAATACAGGATGGCTGATGCTGTATGAGGTAGTTTGGGGCAAGGGCAAAGGCCGGGGGAAAAAGACTGAAGAAAATTAGCACAAGCACTGGCTAAATGCTTAGTGGCAACTTGTTAGTCCACTGGTTGACTATTTCAGAATCACAGTTCACTTGTTGTCTGAGGCACTGAACCTCACAAGACACACTAATATTTTTTTACTTGTAGCTCTGCATGAGAATGAACCCAATTTGCACACAATGAAAATGGATCTCAACAATAAGCGTGAGTGAGTGAGTATGGTTTTATCACGGCGGGGGACACCAGAAATGGGCTTCACATATTGTACCCATGTCGTTAATCGAAGAGGTTAGAGTATCCTGCCCCACCAGTGTCAGAAGAAGTTCCTATTGTTGAGAGGGGCGGTCGGGTAGCCTAGTGGTTAAAGCGTTCGCTCGTCACGCCGAAGACCCGGGTTCGATTCCCGACATGGGTACAATGTGTGAAGCCCATTTCTGGTGTCCCCTGCCGTGATATTGCTGGAATATTGCTAAAAGCGGCGTAAAACAATACTCACTCACTCACTCTATTTCATGAGAGGGCACGGGTAGCCCAGTCGTCTAAGACTCTGCACAGCGAATTGCCGCGCCTAAGATTTGTTTGTTTGTTTTGTCCAGCTGTATGACCGCGATTGTCCAGTGATTGACACCATGAGCATCGATCCACTCAATTGGGTTCGATGACATGTACCCATGTGGGGAATCGAACCCGGCCATTCGGCGTGACGACAAAACGCTTTAACCACCACAAGGCTCCCCCCCCCCCCCCCCCCCCCTTCTTCATCGAACCAATATATTTTTACTCAAAATTATTCAGCCACAGATTACTTTTCACAAACTGTTGCAGGAATAAGGGATGGTTAAATAGACATAATCAAATTAAACAACAGTTCCTTCAATAATTTACCATAACATAAAAAAACAAACTCTGTATACTCTCCTTTGACCCTCAGTTAATACGTTTTTACTATTGTGGTACATATTGTTCATAATTCTTTGGAATTTTGTTTTTCATAATCATCATTATGATTAGAATGCATTAAAA